TTATGGATAGTCTGGGAATTTCTGCCTTCGAAAGCCTGTAGACTTGTCCTTTCTCTCACCTTCCCATAATGTTGAATCCTTCAGTCCTTCCCTTTTGTTGTCAGTTTTGCTTCTAAACTTTATCTATGCATACTCAATACACATTTTAAAACAACTTTGTGTAGTTGATATCCTAGTTTTTTCCTGTGTTTTCTTTCCTGATAGGTGGCTGTGGAGCCCCTCCAACCTTAACCTTTGCTGAGCTAACTGAGGAATACAAAAATCTGACAGAGTTTCCTGTTGGGGACACCGTGCGATACAGCTGCCAGCTGGGATATATGAGACACCCCAGCGTACCCCCAACTCTGACATGCCTCAAAAACCACACGTGGTCTGAAGCGCTAGCGTTCTGTAAAAGTGAATAGCTCAATCAGTTTGGTGTTGGTTGTTGAAAATTGTCTAAGCTATATTTGTGGGTTTCTTAAAGCAATTCTTTAAAAAATGATTCATACATGGCTTCACTAGTCACATAGTTTGGGCAGCTATTGGCCTTCTAAAAATTACGTCTTTATTGGTGTCTGAATGTGGACAGATCCTTAAGATACCTTCTCATAGTGCATTACAAAACTGCAAGAGAGGAGTTTAAACTCAGCCTTGTTCTTTCCCAGGGAAGCAATGTAAATACCCAGAAACACCAAAGAATGGCAGAGTTGTTGTTCTGACAGATCTCCTTTTTCAGTCAACCGTGAGCTACGTGTGTAATGAAGGGTGAGTCGCGCGCTGCCTTTGCTGACTCCATTTCTGAGCTTGGTGTTGGGCAACTTACAATAAAGGCTCAGAGCCCACTCCTCTGCGCAGGCCATTCTCCCACAGCAAGCCAAAATCTGTATTTTAGTTCTAGTTATGCTGTTGTTGCCTGCTCAGGAATGGGAGAAGTGTCTCTTATTTTTCCCTGCCTGTGCTTAATAGATTACTTTGCGAACTTCGGTTTCAGTCTGCCTTCTCAGACGGCCACCCAGCAGGAGCTGAGAGTGCAAGCAAGCACGTGCTGCAAGGAGGCTCCAGCGGCTGGGAGATCACTTGGGTCTGAGTCCTGATTTAGCACCTGAGCAATCTAACCCAGAGTAATTTGGGATCATTGCTGTTCCTCTTGGATCTAGGAAGAAGGAACTTGGTATCCTTCATTCCTATGTGTAAAACCAACAGAAATACCTCGTTGACCAGCCAGAATCAGGAGGCTGCAGAAGAAAGCCTCTGGTGGTAGTGTCAGAGTGGGAGTGCAAAATCCAAGCTGAATGACTTGGTATCAACTGGTATTTCTTCCTCTGTGACTCCAGGCACCGACTGGTTGGACAGTCTCATAGTCGATGTGAGATTTTTGGACCAGATGTCGCATGGAGTGGTGTTCTTCCCATTTGTCAGAGTAAGTAGGTCACCACTAGATCTGGCCCAGAATTGCCAAATTAAGTCCTTAAAATTAAAAAGTGGAATTTCCTTAAAATAAATAGAGCTTGAGGAATAAGGCTTCTTAAGCATAATATCCCTCTAGGGTTGTTTTGTTTTGTTTGCTTGTTTGGTTGCTTCTAAGAATCTTCCAGATGCTAGCTTTTGATCTTTCAGAGTTATGTAGAATGAAGAGTTGTGAGATGCCTGCAGGGATTTGTCCCTTTTGTTTCACAAACATAAATAATAAATTAAAGAAGAAATGTGTCCTGCAGTAGAAGAGTGGGATATTGAGCAAAATTGAACGGGAATCTTCCAAATACTGTACTGTTATCCAAACCACAAGGCTGTTTTGCAGGGGTTGATCATTGCAATTAGTCTTTGCTTCCAATGGAAGTGCTTTGGAAGGCACGAGCTTGGTATTGAGTAAAGCATGAGCTTTACTATAGTAAAGCAGTCATGAGAATGACTAACAGCGCTTACAGATTTCTACACCATTTAATACATTTATTGGAATGTATTTGCATTATTCTGCTTATAAGCACAAAACTATGTTTATATATACAACAACGTGGTAAACCTAGCATACCTAAAGGAACTAAAAAGCCCTCAATTCTGGAAATTATTCTTAAGTCTCCAAGGCCTACCTGTGAAACTCCTCTGAGCAGTGGCACGTTAAGGATGGGCTTTATATATTGTCGCGGTTTATTACAGCACACATATAGGTTCCCCTTTGAGATCATGAATTTCTTTTTCAGAGGTGGTATGTCCAGTCCCACACATCGAGAATGGCAGAGTATCTGTTCTTAAATATCGCTACACATACAAAGATATTGTCAGCTTTAAGTGCCATGAAGGTTTCACCTTGCGAGGCCATCACACAGCCCAGTGCCAAGCTAATAAAACATGGGATCCACCCGTACCAGTCTGCGAGCAGGGTAAGCGTCAGCACTCTGATGACTTAGCACTGCAGATTCCTCCTCAAGTGCTCCTACCCACTCACTGAAGCCAAAGTTGGCTTTATTTTTCCTGTTTGCTCCAACTACTTTAAGGAGAAAGCAGGAATTGTTCCTTTTATTTATACCTCTCCTCTTCACACAGGAGATAAGCCAGGTTTTGGGTAATGCTGTAAGTATAAGCATGATTTGCACGTTTCTCGCCCTGCTTGTTGCAATCCATAATCCGTGTTCTCTTCACTTCCTGGAAGTGAGAAACTTGTTACCTTCATGGCAGGACGCTGACTATCAGAGAGGAGTAAAATTTTTGCTGGAAATATAAAGGCAGGGGTGATGGAAAATGAAGGTAAATTTGTGCATTGTATTTTCTCAACCAAATGTGTATTTTAAACTCTTAATGCTGCATCTAGATGGAGTGGCAGAACACTATCATCATCCTGATGCCGTAACGAAGCCAGGTAGGTCTATTATAAGAAGAGGCAAGATTTACTAAATGCCAACTCCTCCTCCCAACCTGTCCTGCTTTTTGCAGTGAAGAGGGCTAATTGCACTTTTTTACTCCCTTGTTACCATCTTTTTTACAATTTAATGTCACTTCTCACCTTCTCCCTCTCCTCTTTCAGCAGTGAAGTGTCTGCCTCCTCCTGGCATTGCTAATGGGGAACACAGCAGTCATTTCACAGACAGTTTTGATGTAGGAGCACTTGTGCACTACCACTGCAAACCTGGCTTCTCCCTCATTGGGAATAAATCTGTTCGTTGTACAACACACGGAGTCTGGAGCCATCCCCCGCCTCGGTGCGAAGGTCTGTTTGTGCTCTTTCCACTGAATCTTCTCAACTTTCTAAGTGCATTAAACACGCAGTGATATTTGGCTAACGACTTGCTGAAACAAGATGTTGCGTCAACAAATTCCACCACTAAAGAAAGAATGAGGTCTCGGTGGACTCTGTGGTTTCTATCCCACACAGGTCTCAGTCTAAAGGGTTCTTTACACCCTTGCTGTCCACAGTTGGCTGAGTTGGGAATGGAAAAGCAATCAGATTGGAGTCCCTCTATGGACCTGGAGACATGATTACAACTGAATGCGACAATGCTAATGTCCCAAAAGACCTCCCCAAGTCCCACTGCCAGCCCGGGGGCACATGGGATCCTCCACTCCCAGTCTGTGGAAGAGGAAAGCATGTCTTATCTGTCCTTAGATGGCTATCCTTGCTGACCTTATCATTCTTGGCAGTGTGTTGCAACATGTTTAGGATGCAAGAGCAATCTGGAATCTAGTGTTTAGATCTGAAGATCCATCTATCCTAATTTTTCCCATTCTTATTGCTGCAGTATCTGGTGCCTTAGTTTCTCAGTATGAATGCCTTAAAAACAAGCTTAGCCCAGCTTTGCCAGCTGTAAGGAACCTGTGTGGATGTTGTCATAAGATGGTCTTACAAGTGGGGAATTCCCATGATATTTATGAACTAATCACTCTTCTGATCTGATATACCAGGGAAGATGATGCTGGGCAATGTTCCTCTGTGTAAGAAGAAACGTGTGTGATGTCATATGCTTTATAGATGATTTGGGTTGAAGTGAGTGCAGAAGGTTGGCCAGGGCTGGCTCTCTGCGTTGGATTCAGTGCTGTGGGAGTGAGCGTACAGCTGTCCACAGGTGCTCAGAAGTTTCCCCTCTTGCCTGCATGAGCTCTGTTTTGATCTGCACTTCTCTCTTTTTAGTGCTGCACTGTTCCAAGCCTGCAGATATTGCCCATGGATCTCTCAGTGGCCCGGCAAAAGCAATTTTTGCTCCTGGATCATCTGTAAGATACATCTGTGAGCCCGGCTTCTCTCTCATTGGGACAGCATCCATTTATTGCACAGAGACTGGAACCTGGAGCCATCCTTCTCCGGTCTGTCAAGGTGTGTTTTTGTTGCAGACAGCTAAGAAGAAAGGACATTTAACATGACTTGCCTTAGGGAAAGGTTTGTATAAGGACTAAATCCGAGTCCTCTACCACCAAATGAGTGATAAGAACAAGATCGAGTTTATACCTGTTTCCAAAGCCTGATGGAGTCACAGGGTTACAAAATCAGTTATTTAGTCTAGGTGAAGAAATTAAAAGGGAACAATCAAGGTTGCAAAGGTACGGTGCCTTAGCTGTTCTCGGCAGCCCATCGGGATCCTCATGTCAACACTGTCATTTGTCTCTCCCTGACCTTCCAGTTGTGAAGTGTCTCCATCCTCCAAACATCACCAACGGGAAGCTCAAAGGCAACATCTCTGACACTTTTTCCTATGGAGCATCTGTATCCTACAGCTGTAATCCTGGTTATTCACTCGTTGGGAATGCTTTCATCAACTGCACGGTGTCAGGAACCTGGAGCCAGCCGCCTCCTTCGTGCAAAGGTGTGTTTGTGCTCGGTTTGCTTATGTTGTTTGGAATTCATGGTGGCAGACATCTCCCAGAAATGGGCTGAGGAGACATGCAGCCATGCTGATATACATGTTTTACTTTGGGGAAAAAATTAAATCTTCAGAGAGATATGTGGGCCAAAATGTATGCAGTAAAATCTTCTGCAGCTAACACCGAACTCCATCGCCTTATTTTGCTTGGGAACCACTTTTATATGATAGCTAGGCAGTGTTGATCTGTTAGTTATGAATTTATCTACTCTTTGTTATCCCTGGGAAGAGTATGGTATTGCTGTAAAGAAGCAGGATGGGAACCTCATGCTAGTAGCCAGAAGGATATGAGTACAACAGAGGCAATTCTGGAAGGCAATTTTAATTCTTGCATGTCTTCCATCTCTGCTCTTGTTGCTACAAATGAGTTGTATACCAATTTCCCTCCATTAAAAGCTTTTTACTTCTAGCAGGAGAGTAGAAACTTTTCCCCTTCCCTTTCCTTCTCTTTTTGTGTGTCTCACTCCCCAGTTATCACTAACAGGAAACAAAGGAAATTATGTCAGAGAATTTGTCTCCGATGGACGGTCTGTAGATTACACACGAACCTGACTATTCCCTTCTCGGAAAATGCCTCTATATCTGTGACTTGGCATTTCTGTGTGGGTCACTGTGAAGGTCAGTCATCAGGAAAACTTGACTAAAAGCAATTTCATGAATGTCACAAGATTCCTAGTGTGGGTGTTCCTGTACAGAAAACTGGACATTCACCGGAATAAATTCATTACCCACTTCTTTGGTGGAGCTGCACCCACCTCAGTGACTCAAGAGTTGTGACTCAAGAGTTGAAATGCACTTGGATAACAACAACAGGAAATAATGTACCACATGCTTATGTAAATAAGTCAGAGGTTCTATAAAGGAAGCAGTCTCACAGAAAAACTCTCCCTGCCGTTCCACATTCTCGTGGTTTTGAAGTGTCCTTAGTAACTATTATGTGCGGAATTAAAAATATTAAAAAAAAAAAAGGCATGACACAAAGGTTAGAAGTTACATGTTGATGTTACCCCTTTGGTCTCCACTGACAACCTTCTCCTCCAGAATTCTTGGGCTTGGACTGTCAAAGGTGATTAGACACATAAATTGAAGCAACTAACTCACTTCATTGAAATCAGTGGTATAAATACCTTAGATGGCTGGACCAATTAATAAAATAATTATCAATAATATGGCTAGTCACATCTTTTAAGGGCAAGGGACTTCTACAGACTAGAAGTGGGTTATAGGCAGTTGGCTCTAAAGCTCCCACAGGATTCTTCCCTGTCTACACCTTTCTTACACCTTTCTTCTCCAAATGTTTTGGTAGCCCAGTATCAGAAAAAACTCTTTCTCTGGCAGGCTTCTCCCCAGGCACCCCTGCTACAGGTGACTTTCCACGTACAGTATCAGTGTGGGGTAGCTGATCTGTACAAATATTCACATGTGGGAGTGAGACACCTGCTTCTGCAGCCACAAAGAAAGGAACTACCCTGTGGAATTAAGAATTAATTCCTGGTTACATTCAGAAAGAATTCAAGAACAATGTCTTAAATAACCCACTGTTGTATTTTATGTTCCTTCTCATTAAATGTCCTTCTTTTGTTACTTCTAATTTCAGAGATCAGCTGTGTGTTCCCAGAAGTTCAAGGTGTCAAGAAAGCCATAAAAGGAAATACTTATCGCTCTGGGACTAACATCACTCTTGAATGTGATGATGGTTACATGTTGGAAGGCATCAGTCAGATTCAGTGCCAAGAGGACTTCAGCTGGGACCCACCTGTACCAGCCTGCAAACTGAGTGAGTGAAATGTAAATGAAGCAAAGATCAGAAACATGCAAATGCATTTGAAACATGAAAATGTCTTTCTGTATTTAAAAAAAAAAAAAAAAGGTATATAATGGTATGTTTTTTAAGAAATCCTGTATTATAGACCTGAGCAGTAAAAGCTTTATTGATAAAGTGATTAACTACCACTGAGAAACATCGTATTTTGTTAGAATAGTTTGCTGATTTTTCTTTTTCTCTTCCCTTCAGAGTCACACAAGCCTGGTTCAGTAGGCCTAGGTAAGCAGCTTAGAAACATTTTTGTGGCTGATCTTTAGCTTTACGCAGTGGCCTCAGTGGCACAGTTTCCCTCTGCTTCCTTTGAAGCTGTGCGTTGTTATGTCTTTTGTGCTGATACGCTTTAAAACATAGAGTGAGAATAACACACGCTGTTCTTTCTCAGGAGTCGCAGCTGCAGGAGTCCTGCTTCTCCTGGGGGCAGGCATTGTCTGGAAAATTATTTCTAAGCAGAAGGAAGGGTAAGGCAGTCTTCTGGATGTTCATTCATGTCCTTTGTTGCCAAGTCCCAAGTTCTATACACTTTACACACTTGAAATATTTGCCTGAGTGTGCCTGGGTCTTGTAATTTTGTAACTTCAGCTCACGCCTGCAAACTGTACAAGGCACAGCAACGTGGAATCGATGGTGTGCTTATGTTGTTTTATTTCGAGACTCTCTTCCTAAGAGGAAACCAACCTGAGTGTTCTTTTTCAAACCAATACAGTTCACTGTTTTCTTCTTTTTCACTTAGCTATTATAATACATACGAAAACTACAGTTACCAAACCCCTCCGAACCAGATAACTGAACAGAAATGTTCATGTCTTCCATAGAAGGTATGGATTTCTATTCCTCAACATAAAATACCAGTTACAGCCGCAAACTTGAGTTATTCCAATATAGTCATTCAGGTA